ATTCTCTTCACTCCCGCCGCCATGGACTCCAAGTTGTTGGAGATCCTGGACGAGTGGGAGGAGGGAATGTTTATGTTCCCTGAGCTGCTCGCAGAAGCGTACACCACGTTTCTCGGGCAGCTCGTTGGGTCCACTGCAGCAGAGCGTCAAGACCCAAGGGTCATTCCTTTCCTGCTCGCCGGCTACCAGGCCTACCGTAAGGACCAGAAGGGGGCGGACCCACAGGCTGCACTGACCTACCGCATGGCCTTGGCCATGGTAGGCTGTGGATCAAATGCGCCACCTCAGGCCACCACGCCTCCGCCACGCCCTGCATCACCCCATGCAGAGGCGCCACGCCCAACTACACCACCGGTAAGGCCCACGACGCCACGTCCTGCCACGCCCCCGGCGAAGCCAGCTACGCCACGGGCCGCCACGCCGCCTCCCCCGAGGTCACCATCCCCCCAGCCAGGCCCCTCTAGAACACGCTCTCCCTCTCCTCAACCGGGTCCTACCCATCCCCCCGAGACCGCCAAGCGGCCTAGGGAGGAGGAGGACAGCGGAGAGGAAGCCGAGGAAATGCCCACTCTAGAGGTCCTACAGACGCGTGAACGTGTCCTCAAGAGATTTAACGATCTCAAGTTCCGTGAGGAGGTCATGGTCATCAAAGGGTTGGGAAAATCACTTCCATCAGATGAGCTTATGTCGTCCATGTTTGACACTGTGATTGAAAGACAGCGAGCCGCCGTAGGGGCGAAGGACGATGACAGGGCCATCTTAGAGATCGGTAACAGTCACAATGTTGACTCACCCCTTTGGTTCTCAATGCGAAGGGCAGACCAGTTGTCTGGTGATGTCGTTCTTCAAAAGTTGACAAGGGTTCTCAATTCGAACCAGCAATTTTTCTCAGATGGCAAATTAACTGTCAGCTACATTCACGTCCCTGTACCAGAGGCGGGGGGTAAACGCCCACTCGCCAGGGCTGCTAATGAGACCATGGACGAATGGCTAAAAAGAAAGACCGATAAGGCAACAATCTGGTCGCCTACGAACACAGAAGACAACATGTGTCTCGCTCGTAGTGTTGCTGTAGCGATTGCTAAGCACGGCGTCGATCGTAAAGTTCTGTACAAGATAAAAAAAGATGTTGCAGGGGTTCAGACAAGTAAAGCAGAACTCTTGTGTGAATCTGCGGGGATAGACAAACACAAATCATGTGGGCTGGACGAAGTTGCACGTCTACAAGATTCTCTCAATGATTATAGGATCTGTGTATTCACAGATAAAAAAGGGAAAGAATGCATTTTTAAGGGAACATATTCAGCACACCGAAAGAATATCTATCTGTTACTCTTCAAGGAACATTTTTCTGCCATCATGTTTCCAAAACAAGCTTTCGACTATGACTACGAATGTGAAAAATGTGCTATGTTTTTTAACAACAAAGGAGAACATAAATGCGATGGCACTTGTTGGCGGTGCTTTGGCCCTGCCCCCCACACTGATCCCGCACTTCTTCTTCAACGCTGTGAAGATTGCGGGCATCAATTTAAAGGGGATGAATGTTTTGAGAACCACAAGACTGTTAAGTTACCCCGTAGCACCTCAACAAGATGTGACACGTTTAAATTTTGTGCACGGTGTCTTACAAGTTACAGCACTCAACGCGGGGCGACACACGTGTGCGGTACAATACACTGTAAAAATTGTAAGCACAACGTGAAAGAAAATCACTTGTGTTTCATGATGCCATGGGGAGAGCGGGAGAAACGACCAAAGTGGCGCTATCATACCATATACTATGATTTCGAATGTACCCAGGTGGACCCTGTTGAGGGGAGAGAGGATGTGTTTGAGCACAAACCTAACCTCTTAGTCACACAGACGGTTTGTGATAACTGTGAAGGAGTAGTTCAAAATGACTACTTTTGCACAGATTGTCAGAGCCGCCAACACATTTTCCACAATTTAGATGACAAAAATATCAATGTTGTCGGGCAGTTTTTAGACTATCTAAGCTCCTTCCCTCCTCGGACAGAGCTTTTACTGGTGGCACACAATGCAAAAGCCTATGATCTTTTGTTTGTGGTCCAGGAGATGGTGGCCCGCGGGCTGAAACCAGAAATTACTCTACAAGGGGCTAAGATCATCTGTCTCAAATTAGGCAATTGGAAATTCATCGATTCCTTAATGTTTTTGCCTATGCCGCTCTCTGCCATGCCAAAAAGTTTTGGGCTTACAGAGCTCAAAAAAGGGCACTGGTGCTTTTTAGCCAATAAGCCTGAATTTTATGACTACGACGGTCCCATGCTTAGTAAAGAGTACTACTGTACTTCAGGTATGAAATCAAAGGCTTACGATGAATTTGATCGATGGTACAATGAGCAAGTTGAGAAGAACTATGTTTTCAACTTTCGTAAAGAGCTGATTGATTACTGTATTTCGGACGTAACCATCCTTCGACAGGCTTGTCACTCCTTTCGTACCATCTTCACTGAAAAGGCAGGGTTCGACCCCATGTTTAATTGTATATCATTGAGCAGCGCCTGTATGGCTGCCTTCAGAAGAAATTTCTTACAGAAAGAGACGATTGGGATAGTTCCAGCAGGGGGATACCATGGGCGAGGAAAGCAGAGCCATATTGCTTTGCAGTGGTTAGACTTTGAGTCGTTTAGACTGGGGGAAACCATCAAAACAATATACACAGACCGTGAGGTGTCTATTCTGGGTCGTCCTGTAGACGGGTACGTCGAGATCACACTTATTGACAACACCATAGAACGTAGAATTTACCAGTTCCACGGATGCTATTGGCATCATTGCCCAAAACACTTCCCTGCCGAAGAAGGGTGTGGAGTGAACCGCTTTCAGGAGACTCAAAAAATTACACAACTTTTCCAAAGACATGGATATAAAGTGATCGAGAAATGGGAATGTGATTTCAAACAGGACATGGAGAATGACCCCGAGGTCAAGGCCTACTTTCTTGCACACCCCACTAAACGCTCCCCTCCCCTAAACCTGAGGGATGCCCTTGCAGGCGGGCGCACTAGCGCGCTTAAAGCATACTATAAAGCAGATCTTAAAAAGGGTGAAAAAATAAAATTGGTAGACGTTGTTTCAGAATACCCTAACGCAAATCTCAGAGGGAAATATCCATTCGGTCATCCCTCTATTTTTCTAGAGGGTGACAACACTATGCCTGATGTTCACGAATGGAACGGTGTCATCAAGGCAACTGTCATTCCCCCCAGAGACTTGTATATCCCTGTTCTGCCTTACAAGTGTGGAGGGAAATTACACTTCCCTCTGTGTCGTCGTTGTGCAGAAACAGAAAGTGAGGTTATCTGCCCCCATGACAATCCAGACGACCGCCAGCTAACGGGTACTTGGTGT